GCACGAACCGAAGTTGTCTACATAGGAGTCCAGCGACATAGCCATTACGCTAACTGCTGGTCCCATTATTACCTTCATTTTCACGAGAGGGTGTTGAGACTCAAAGTTGGTGTGTGGGAGGTGAGGGAGGGTGAGAGGGAGGGAATCAAGGAGAGAACTAGAGAGGCAAGACATTTACGGGACACAGAAATGGAGGATCGTCTGTCAATAACATGTCCGGTAATATCGTTCATTGGACTGGTGTGCAGTGTATTCATGCTGGGAAAATTTGTTTTACAAGCTGTGGTGATGTACAGTGGTTGAATATATAAAATAAATTTTATAACAAAGTGGGTGTGTGACTTGTTGAAAGTCATTTTGCAAATAAGTGTGGAAATGAAATTGGTACTCTTGTCTGAATGACCTCAAAGCCCACGCTGTGTCTTCCAAGGAGCTGCCTCGTCAAGGCAGAAGCCAGCAGTCCACGTTACCTCGTACAGGGGTTGTTTCTCCGGAGTCTCATTCTGAAGCTGTGATTTCCATCAGCTCTGTGTGGACTTTAACAGTCTTGTGAAAAGTAGAACACTGAGGTCTTTTTTGTGTTGCTTGATAGCTTTATTACCTACATTTTGTGTGGCGTTTTCAACGTACTTAACAATGAACTATTAACCAAGCTCCTAAATGACCATAAGATCACATTCATTTTGTTTCCATTTTAATAAGATGGTCTTTTTGTTTTAATGCATCATGCTTTAAAATGTTTTACTACATCAAGCCTTCTTCCTGAAATTATGAAGCATCAATGTGCAATTAAAATCATGAAGCCAGTGATATTTAAAGCCTATATCGCATTATGATTTGAATAATGTTTTATCACTTGTTCCTGAGGGTCTAAATAGTAGTTATCGTTACTGATTTATAAAGGGAGACCTGATTAAGGAGCATTCAGCCAGCTCTGTGATGACATTGGGATTTTTATTGCAAATCTATTGCATTGACTCTATCATCTCTTAGATGGCCTCATGATTGCCTAAAATGATCCTGGTCTGAATTTTATGTCAATTTGGGGGTAAAGGATTTTAAAAGGACAGTATATCAAATGATTTAGTTCTAATTGCTGTATATTAATTTTCCCTATTTCTCCCCATTTGTGTTTTTTTCTAGAAGAAAAATTCAAAGTGGAGACAAGAACAATTGCTGTTGACTTTGCATCAGAAGACATTTATGATAAAATTAAAACAGGCTTGACAGGTCTTGAAATCGGCGTGCTAGGTTTGTATTTTGGCCACATTTATAAGTTCTTCTTAAATTTACTACTCAACTTTCCGTGACTTCACGTTTTCCCTTTAGATGTTAAGTATTCAGTGGTAAAATGGCTAGTTAAAAATGAATCCTCCTGTTAATACAATAATCAGGTTAAATCAGTCTATATACATTTGGATCTGTATTTTGGGGTATGTATTAAGAACTGTTGTACAGTTTTGGTTATGTTTCCTTCCTACCTCATGTCCAATCTTCTGTCTGTGCATATTTAGATAGAGTTAAAACTACGGCGGGTATTGCTGACACATTTACAGCTGAGGAAATGAAGGCTGAGGAAAGGTTGAGGTATACAGTTGGGATTCAGTCTTCCATTTGCTTTTCTAAGTCTGCTCTCCTTTTTGTTATTCCTTTACTATCCTGCTCTTACTGCCAGCACCAGATGCTCGTGCTCAGATAATGAGAATATTGAACTTTAGTATGAAAAAGATTCACCAGAAGATTTTTTTTTTTTTTGGAAAGATTTTCACTATAGGGCGCGTGCGCTCGCCAGACAGACAGAGAGAGACATAGAGACAGAAAGCGAGAAATCACCCCCCAGAGGGGATGGTCACGTCGCAATCCCTTCTCCTCCATTCTCCTCTCAGGATCTTGGGCATGCACGCACACGCGCCCGGCGTGAGTTTTAAGCCACCAGGTCCGGGACGTGAACCGCGGTCGACTACGTGGGAGTCCAGTGACATAGCCATTACGCTAACTGCTGGTTCCCAGTTCACCAGAAGATTTTAAGGGATAAAATAGGCTTTATAAGTTTTTCACTATTTTTTGAGTCATTTCTAGAAAGAAACAGGACATCTAGTTCAGAAAATTTTCACTCCCTCAGTAAATCTCTTTATTCCACCACCTAAAATGATGGGAACCTGATCTTTGCCATTGTTCTCTTTTTGTGTGTGTGAATGGAAGTCATTTTTAAGAATGTTTATTAATATTTCTTTAGTCATACTATAAAAGAATATGTGTGTGTGTGTGTGTGTGTGTGTACACACATATATATTGTAGCTAGGGCAATCAAAAGCTCAATTCAGGAAGTATAGTCCCAGTACCCTTGGCTCGGTGGCGAACCCTGACTTCTGCATGCTGTCCTTTCTCACTCCCGCCCGGCCCGTGCCACGCGTCTTCATGCCCAATCTACCCACTTCACTAGTCATCACTTACAGAAGAATCAGTGAACTCTTAGACACGGGTCTAATTTTTTGCCTTTGTGTCTACATGTTCTTCTGTTACACATACTGCTAGGAGTCGTTCATAAGTCCCTCTTCTTTAGCCCAGATTTGGAATACATGAACACCAACATCTGTCAAAGTCTTAACTTTTTTTTTTTTTTTTTTTTGGGGGGTTTT